AATTATATCCAGGAAATAAGCTGTAAGAAACCATGCGGTTGAGGCAGTTTTAGCGAGCACGTGGCGCGCTTGCTAGTCTCCTCAATGTTATGCTAGTTCAAATTTCTTTCCATTGCATCTTTGTTCGTGAAGTTCACGTGAGAGAAGACCAGATTAAGACCCAAGTTTGTTTGTTTGCAAAGGTCATAGATTCAATTATCGAAGGAAAGTTGGAATAAGAGACCATATTTATTTGAATTCTGCAAGCAATTCAATAGTCACTTGACCTGAGCGTCATTGTCCGAATCACTGATAAACGGTCCGCTGTTGTATTGCATAGTTCTGTACCGACATTTATCATTCTTCTAAAACTTCTTTTGCTTACTTTCTCCACAGAAGAAAGAGAAGAAAAGTCAAATAAATAAAGAAGACTAACTGGAAAACTTGACAAGCACAAGGAATAATACTCCTACAGATAAGATTTAAAGCTTATTTGATTAAAATTAATTGACACTGAGCGACATTTCACATTGTAATTTCAATGAACTGTTGTTTTAACACTCTCTCATTAATTTTCTCGGATTTGATTTTGGCATAGAAACACTTGGAATCTAAAACTTGAGCAGCACCAGCAGTAACAGGCAGAAAAAAAGCAGTTTTATGCCACCTTTTGTTGCTAAATTCATCTCTCTTCCCTGCCGATTACAATCTGTTATCCAAAATCTCGTTTCGGTTTAAAGATTTTGATGTGATCGCTCAGTGTTGTTGGTTTTTATTTATTAAGGTGGCACTGAAAGTTAGTTTGATAGTTCACGGTTTAGTTTTAAGTTTTTCTGTGACGAAAAATTCAAGTACTCCTATTTGGGGTAAGAAGCAAACCATAGCCCTTGACAGAGCAGAATGGAGGCCTTTACTTTCAAATAAAACGAAGAAGACGGGTAAAATCTAACATCTAACATACGAATTCAGTGCCACCTAGAGTAATTTTCTGCACTAGTTAAAAGCAATGTCTGGTTTAAAGAGTGTTTTCTGTTTTTCGGATTACATAATAAGTTCACTTACGAGCAAAATTTTCGATAAACGATAATATCAATTTTCTTTCTGTATAAATTTCACGAAGGTGAGAGAAAATTCAATCTAACAAATGAAGCTAAATCCCAAATGACTAAAAATTGACTACTTTTGGGTCAGGAATATCATTCCTCAGTCAAGACTGAAACATTACTACTCTATAGAACGACCAAAAAGTAGGCTGATCGACTGATCTGCCTCAGCGAATAGACTGATTTACCTTCACTGTACAATTAGCTTCACTACACGAGACAAACACCAAGCACTGAAAATGAAACTGAAACATAGGCAGTCGTTAAACGATCAAACGACAGAGGACTCGTTACTGTTGTTATAGACAAAACTAGGCGCATTTGTTACAAAAAAAGCTTACAAAGAACCTAAACATTAACTAGACAGCAACTGTACCTACTCAGACTCAAGAAGAAACTCGTTTCTACCGACAATACGCAAACTTGACTTCCGATGTGGTAGTTCACCAACAAGAGAATTAGACATTCTATTATCTTTGCGATACGACAGTAAACATTACGGAATAATTAACCTGAAATGTGACATTTATTCAAAAGGTTGGCTGTCTTGACATTCTTCAAACGTACGTTTAAAAATTGCCTTCGTTGCAAAACTTACCTGGGATTTGAAGGCAAAATTACACTGCTTTCCAATTCTTGCGGTTTACTCTTCCAAACACTTATGGAATTAGACGACAATTATTTACGCGAAAAAACGTCAAAACTAAAACATAGCAGTTTATTTACTCTCAAATGTCGAAGTTCATTAGTTACCGAAACTCGGCATTGAAATTACGCGAGGATCATTCTTTAAACCAGACATTACTTTTATATCTAGTTAATACCAGTAGTTAATGTTACATAATGCAAGAAGAACAGTGCAAAACATCTCCCAAAACCAGCAACAGGCAAATACATATTTTTTTCATGAAGAAATTTTGTTGTGAAAGTTCTTTTGATGAACAATTAACGAAGATTCACGGTGAGGATTTTAATTCTAATTGTTTCTGATTCTTGGAAAGAGAAATGAAATGCTTTTAAAGACAAAACATTTAGAAAAATTCACACATGTATTTCTTGTGCAACGTTTGATATGAAAATTATTTCATTGTGTAATTTGACAAAGATTCACAGCGAAGATTGCAAACAATTCCTTATTCAGAACCTCAAAAAGGTGAATCATTGCTCAAAATATTTAAGGTAAAGGAAAACTTCAACGAATTGCACGTCTTGAAATAATATTGGGGTTCAAACCAGCATGGAGACCTTTTTTAAGTTGCGAAAAATTTACACATTTACTTCACGTGCGACAGTTGTGCAAATTATGTTGATGAAAAATATTTGCAAAGATTCACAGGCAAAGCTTACAAATTGCTTTAATTTTCATAATATTATTTCGAAAACCAACGAGACTGAGTGTTTTTGGGAAAAAGTTCAAT